CGCCAATGGCCGAACCCTGGCGACCGCTAAGGTGCTCGCCGATGCCAGCTCTCGAACGCGATCGAAAACGCGACGAACCGTGGCTTGTAGTCGTTTTCCGGCCATCTCCAGCGAACTTCCGCCGTGGGAATGGTCGTCGGCGCGACTCCAGTCAGTGTCCGACGTCGTGCTGACGCGGCAGCCCTAGACCATGCCGCTGAGCCATTACCGTTGGGTCGCGCTAACCCATTGACCCAGTCAACTGCTGACTGGGCACTCTGACCCACTAACATGTGGGCCCCACTTTCTTAAAACATTTTAAAAATAAATAATTCTGCTAACTAAAATGTGTTAACTAATTAGTAATTAGGTAGTCACTCACACCAGGGCCCACCCCTCTAATTAGCCTATTAATTTTGTTTAAATTACTATTGGACTAACAAAGGCTGACATGTGGGTCCCACTGGACCCACAGGTTAGGTTTGACCTTCATCGGCGAGTTGTTGACTGCTGACGTCATCCCCATGCAGTGCTGACGTCATATTTCCATTTCTGTTAATTTAAATAATTCCAGAATATTGTTTAAACTTTCAAAATTCATAGAAATTAAACCGTAACTCCGATGAAAATGTTTTCTACATGAAAGTTGCCCAGAAAAACGCGTCGAATCCGAATACGGGGTCCATTCACCTATCACATGCCTCTAACTAGCTGAACATGGAACATTCCCCCTCTGGTCATCTGTCTGACACAGGTCCGGAACCGGGAAAACATTCCCGGTTGAATTCCCCCTTTACCTATATCGTGTAGCCATACATTAGGTCACACCCGGCTTAGCATATTGCCATGTTATGCTTTGCGATTCTTTGTTTGCTTTATAATTATTGTTTCTTCCCCCTCTTCTCTCCAGAAACCGCGAGACCGATGCCGCCCCTGTATTCGACTACGTCGACAACACTTCTTCCTTTACAACAGAGCTTCCAGGCAAGCAAACCCCCCTTGAGCATTCCGATATCGCCCATTTCTTTCCCTCTCATGCTTGCATTAGAACTGCTACCGCTTTCTGTATGATCCTACTCTGATGAATAGCCTATTTTTGCTACCTGCTTTCGTACCTTACCTGCTTATTCTAAACTGCTTAGTATAGGTTGGTTAGAGATCCATCATTGACCCCCACCTTGTCCCAATTACCCCGCTTTATGTTCAGTGACTTGATCAACGTGGTCGATGTCCAGGCCCCGACACCGCACATCACCCCCTAGTTGTACGACTCTGCAGAGTTACTATCGAGTGCCGAGGGTGACACCTCATCAGCACTCCTGATGTTAATCCTGTAGTATAGCTATTTGGTCGTGGTCATCGAGGGTGGTTCCTCCTTAACCACTTCCGATACAGCTTGGTCGTGCAACCCCTCAAGTGTGAACCTCGAGGGTGGTTCCTCCTACGTTCACCTTGATGATTACATTGAGTGGAATCCACCGAGGGTGGTTCCTCGGAGTTTCCCCTTGGTGTTTGGACACACGGATACTTGGACTTTACAACTGTTGCTTGGAAAAGCGGGTCGATCCTAAGGGGTACCCACGAGTGATGTGGAGACGGGTTGACCTGGAGGGTACCCCGAGAGTTGAACACGAGGTGTGGCCGGGCACTCTTAGCCCTTGCCGCAAGCCCTCGAGACGGGGCGACGGGGTCATATCTTCCATGAGTCTCTGCACGTGACCGCACTACCAACACACTAACGGTTTGGATATTTGATGTGAGGGGCCTCTGGCCTGATAGCACTAACCATCACATGGGCATAGTATGGGCGTTCTGCATCTTATGCATCAGCCGAAGCTTAATAGATGTCATGCGACTGAGCGGCGTGCGCCGGGTTGGACTGGTAAGCACCTGCCTTTTTAAGGAGGTAGCTAGGTCTGCTCACCGGACGCCCACGCAACATGCAGGAGTTCCCGCGGCGATGGCTCAAGACCCTTGGGGGCATAGGTTTAGTCCGGCATGCTGACCTCTCTATTAAGCCTAGGTCGGGTTGCGGCGTATTGTTTGGCCGAGGCTGGGCATGAGCAAGTAAAGTGTGTCCGGCCCGAGTTAATCACGCGTGGTGGGTAAGTTGGTGCACCCCTGCAGGGAAGAAAACATCTATCGATAGCTAGTCCTACGGTAATGGACACTTGGAGTTGTATCATGATCGATACAACTGGAACTTGATGCTGAGGCATGTTTTGGAAATGATGGCTTTGGGATTGTTTCCTCGCAGGGAGTCGAGGAAGTGATCTCTGGGCAATGTTACAACATACTTACCAATATTATTATATGCCACCCTTATCTCTTGTGATGCTGCAAGATGCTTGAAGCTGCTTGAAGATGCTAGTCTTCGATAGGCTAGGCTTTCCCCTTCTCTTCTGTAATTCTATAGTTTAGTCCACAGATACAACCCATTCCTTTGATACAAATGCATACTTAGTTTAGATCTGATGTAAGTCTTACGAGTACTTTGGATGAGTACTCACGGTTTCTTTGCTACCTTGTTTTCCCCCATACCCGTTTGTTGCGACTAGATGACGGATCCCAGGAGCCAGATGACACCATTCGTGATTACTACTACCCCGAGGGTGTCTACTACTACATGACGGCCGCTGGCGACTTGGAGAAGTTAGGAGGCTCCCAGGTAGGAGGCCTAGCCTTTTCGATCATTGTTGCTTTTGTGCTAACCTTCTTAAGGAAGACTTGTCTAACTTATGTCTGTACTCAGATATTTTTGCTTCCGCTGACTCTTGTGTATTTGAGCCCTCGAGGCCCCTGGCTTGTAATATTAAGCTTGTATTATTTAAATTTGTGTCTAAAGTTGTGTTGTGATATCTTCCCACGTCGCCATGGGTGGTATTAGGATCTTTTACTCCTCAATCTTTACTATGGGACTATGATCTCTCTTCCATTCGGGTTAAACGAGTTTACTAACTCTAACATTAGGATCTCGTGACCACATTCACCCCAAAGTTGGATAAGCCATAGTTATTCCTTAGAATAGTATTTTGAATAGTACACACACTGTCGTGTTGACTACTATGTGGTATCCAACGTACCTCTTTCATTATGCATGTTTCATCATGAATGATCCTTGTCTTTGCAAATGCTCGATGCTAAACTACCCCTGTTACATGTTAGCAGGATGGTTAGACCCGTTGGTCGTGGCCGTGGTGGCAACGCTCCACCATCGCCTGAATTCATGGCCGGAATGATGCAACAGTTTGAGCTGAATCGCCAATTCATGGAAGGAATGATGGCTCAGTTTCCTCGCCCCAACATGAATCAACAACCAACCCAGTAACTCTACATGACTTCATGCGCCTCAACCCAACTATTTACCGTAGCTCAACTCAACCCCTTGATGCTGATGACTGGCTCTGCGACATCACGTATGAAATGGAGTCTGATAGTGTGGCCCTTGCTAGCTATGTCACCTTCGCATCATTCTTTCTGAAGGTCCCGCTGCTCAATGGCGGGACAGCCACAGGCGTACCCTGCCTACTGGAACGTCATCACTTAGCCGGATTTCCAAGATGCCTTCCGTGCCCACTTCATTCCTTAGGGAATCATGAATAGGAAGAAGCGAGAGTTCCGCAACCTCACCCAAGGCAACAATATTGTAGATGCTTATCATTGGGAATTTTTGCATTGTCTCGTTATGTTGAAGAAGACATTGCAACTAATGCTCGTAGGCAAGAAAAGTTCCGTGATGGACTTCACCCTGATATCAAGCTAGCACTGTTCGTTCATGACTTTGCCGACTTTGCCACCTTGGTGAACAAGGCTATTCGAGGGTGGTTCCTCCTATGTTCACCTTGATGATTACATCGAGTGGAATCCACCGAGGGTGGTTCCTCCTACGTTCACCTTGATGATTACATCGAGTGGAATCCACCGAGGGTGGTTCCTCGGAGTTTCCCCTTGGTGTTTGGACACACAGATACTTGGACTTTACAACTGTTGCTTGGAAAGGCGGGTCGACCCTAAGGTGTACCCGCGAGTGATGTGGAGACGGGTTGACCTGGAGGGTACTCGAGAGTTGAACACGAGGTGTGGCCGGGCACTCTTAGCCCTTGCCGCAAGCCCTCGAGACGGGGCGCTGGGGTCACATCTTTTGTGAGTCTCTGGATGTGACCGCACTACCAACACACTAATGGTTTGGATATTTGATTCGAGGGGCCTCTGGCCTGATAGCACTAACCATCACGTGGGCATAGTATGGGTGTTCTGCGTCATATGCATCAGCCGAAGCTTAATAGACATCGTGCGCCGCTTGGACTGGTAAGCACCTTCCTTTTTAAGGAGGTAGATAGGTCTGCTCACCGACCGCCAACGCAACATGCAGGAGTTCTTGGGGCACTGGCTCAAGACCCTGGGGGCATAGGTTTAGTCCGGCATGCTGACCTCTCTATTAAGCCTAGGTCGGGTTGCGGCGTATTGTTTGGCCGAGGCTGGGCAGTCTAGCCGGAGTTAATCGAGTGTGGTGGGTAAGTTGGTGCACCCTTGCAGGGAAGAAAACATCTATCGATAGCCTGTCCTACGGTAACCGACACTTGGAGTTGTATCCCGATCGATACAACTAGAACTTGATGCTGAGGCATGTTTTGAAAATGATGGCTCCGGGATTGTTTTCTCGTAGTGAGGAAGTGATCTCTGGGCAATGTTACAACATACTCCCTCTGTCCGCCAAAGAGCGTACATCTGGCTCCTGATTTTTTTCCCAAAATAAGTGTACATATGGCTCCCCCGCTGGTAATTTTCCATTCACCCCTGGTCTACGCCTTGAGGTCACTGCATCGAGCGACGACCCAATCCTCTTGTCCTCCCCCAAATCAAAGCCGGTCTTCCTCCTGTCCCCCAAACTCTCTTCCTCCCGATCCAATCCCACATTATAGAGAGTCAATCATCCAATCCAAGGCCATTGTTGGTCATGCAGAGATTAATGGCAACCAGTCCATATAAGCTGCCGGTAGGGTGTGTATCGCACTGCATCCATGGAAGGCGATAGAGGAGCAGAAGCCGGCGATGTCCAGCAAGGCAAGGACGTCGCGACGGCCGGCGGCGGAACACACGACCATGGCAGACCTGAATCTGTAGGCCCTCGCCATGCTCTGATAGCCAGGGTCCGTCCTCATCCGCCCTCAAATGTCAATCGGTGTCGGCGGAGCGGCGTCGGAGCCAAAATTTCTAGGTACCTAGAGCTGGTAGACAGAGCAGGGGTTGGTGGTGAAGCCGGTGTCGAGCACGTAGGCACTGTACCCTGCGGTGGAGCGGCTCGTGCGGCTGGGCAGCACGGCCGGACGACAGGTGCTGGGCAAATCGGTGCATCGGCAGGTGCCGGGCAAGCTGGTCTTGGGGCTGACCAGGACGCCGTGGAGAAGACAAGCAATTCTACTACTCCGTGAGTACCAGTAGCTCTGTAAGTTTGGCGATGCAAGCTGTACTCCGTGAATGAATAATCAAGTCTTGGTCTCTTAACGTTGAGGCTTGCATGATCTGTTGCAATATAGCGGTTATCTTGTCAATTAGTCCGGCTTTAGTCTGGCCGAATGCAAATCAGTTTAATCTTGTCAAGTATGAAAATTAGTTGGCTGGATGCAATCTAAGTATGGCTGCATATCATTGCAATCTTATCAAATACGTTGCCTGATGCAATCTTTGATTCGTACTATGGTTGGTAGATGACAGTGTCATCGTTACAATTTTCGGTTTCATAATTGGTATTATGTTGATGAACGAACAATAAGTCCTGGTCTTTGAAGTTACGAATGCTAGATGTTGGATATTTTAGATTGTTCCAATTTTAGGCTCTGTTTGGAAGCGAAGTTTCTTATAAACCTAAGCATTTCAATACTACAGTTTTTTATGCCAATGACAACAATGAATGTAGTATATGAAAAGATCAATTTTGTGCTAACTAAATAAACAGTTGGATAAATAATTTTAACCCAAAGTCTAGCATTGCACCACATCTAATATTACAACTTCTAGTCGGCTAAGGCCTGCGTGACGCTCTCATATAGTTCGCAATCGCAGTCTAAAACATTAGGAAGATTTCCTGCTCGTTCTAGGCCATCCTTGTACATGTGAGGGATCTTGTAGTCGTTGCCTCCACCTCTCTTCATGACCTCAATTAAGCAGCTTTGTAGTGTTAGGAAAATTCTGTTTATCTTATCGGCATCATAGGCATCATATTCATGATGCACATTGTTTATTAGTCTTGATAACCCACAAGTATAGGGGATCGCAACAGTTTTTGATAAGTAAGAGTGTCGAACCCAACGAGGAGCTAAAGGTAGAACAAATATTCCCTCAAGTTCTATCGACCACCGATACAACTCTACGCATGCTTGACGTTCGCTTTACCAAGAACAAGTATGAAACTAGAAGTACTTTGTAGGTGTTTTCGGAAAGGCTTGCAAGAAAGTAAAGAGCACGAAAATAAAACTAGGGGCTGTTAAGGAATGAAGCAACTAAAGTAAATATAGCAAGTGTGGAAAAGTGGAGTTGCGAAATTGTCCCTTAAGCAATTGACTACTTTACTAGACCGATAGCAAGTATTATGTGGGAGAGGCCACTGCTAGCATGTCATCCCTGACTTGGAATTCTATGCACATATGATTGGAACTATTAGCAAGCATCCGCAACTACTAACGTTCATTAAGGTAAAACCCAACCATAGCATTAAGATAAATTGGTCCCCCTTCAATCCCGTATGCATCAATTTCTATGCTAGGTTGAAGCTTCTGTCACTCTTGCCCTCCAATACATAGTCCTATCAACATACAACTAACCCTAGGGTGTGATCCACATGCGCAATCATATGATGGGCACCAAAGGAACGCAAAATAACCACAAGCAAATTAAATCAATCACAGTAATTCATCAACCACCGATAGGACAACAAAAATCTACTCAGACATCATAGGATGGCAACACATCATTGGATAATAATATGAAGCATAAAGCACCATGTTCAAGTAGAGGGTACAGTGGGTTGCGGGAGAGTGGACCGCTGTAGATAGAGGGGGGAAGGTGATGGAGATGTTGGTGAAGATGGCGGAGGTGTTGGTGAAGATCGCGGTGATGATGATGATGGCCACGGTGGCATTCCGGCGCCACCGGAGGAGAGGGGGAGAGGGGCCCCCTTCTTCCTCTTCTTCCTTGACCTCCTCCCTAGATGGGAGAAGGGTTTCCCCTCTGGTCCTTGGCCTCCATGGCATGGGAGGGGCGAGAGCCCCTCCGAGATTGGATCTATCTCTCTGTTTCTCTTTGGTTCTGCGTTCTGTTCTGGCTCTATTTCACCGTTTCGTATATATATGGAGATCCATAACTCCGATTTGCCTGAAACCTTCATCGTGATTTTTTCTGAATATGAGCTTTCTTGCGGCAAAAGAA